CTGCCAAGATTAACCTGGTGCAAACATATGGAAGGAATCTATTCCAGTCTGCATTTGTCTTTTGCCGAAGCTCAGACTCTGACACAGGATTGGGAACGTTGGAAGCACTGTCTGGCGCGTCTGCCTCCGCGACCCGAAAGGAGAAGCGGCGATGGAAGACGAAGATGAAGAGTTATTTAATGCTATCCTTAGTCCTCAAATTGGAAGTGGTAACGTCGATCAAGCCTTCAAAGACTTCAAATAAGCCGCCATTTAATTTGCGCAAAACGAAGTTGAGGTTAGGAAGAGAATAATCATATAATAGCCAAACTGTTCTACGTTAATGGAAAAACCTTAAACCTTAAAGTGCGAGGGAATCAAGCGACGAAGCATGACTGGTAACTTCGGATTACTGAACCATGGAAGGCAGCTCATCGACTTCCCCTTCATGCAGGCGGGACAAGAAATTTAGGTACACGTAAAAGGGACCCAGAAATGGTGAGTAACGAACATTTTTCAGTCAGGTGCAACAGTTGTCCGGTAGGCAGAAGACTTGACCTGCACTTATTCAGGACGCTAAGGGTGTCACATCGGCATTTCGGAAGGAAAGCCTTCAAAGATGGGCTGAGCATTCTGAGCAGTTGCTCAGCATCTGCCCTGGAAATTCGTCATTTCTGACAATCAATAATCTGCGAATACAAGATGACAGTACAGATCAACCCATAAAAATAAAATCCAAAACCTCTGGGGCATCTGATGGTGAAAAATGCCTGGGATGGATCGATTTCCTCTGAAGTTGATTAGGTATTGAGGAACAAGAATGATAGGAACGTTCCAAGCACTGTTTCACCAATTGTAGAACTACTAGCATGTCCCGAGAGAATGGAGGTGTGGAGTTATGTTCCTTCTCCTCGGTACAGGCAAGGTGGCTAAGTGTTCCAATTATCGTGGCACCACCGTACTGTCAAGTCCTGGGAAACGTGTCTGCTGATTGTCCTGGAAAGGTCTGTCCAAGCCAAGGATGGGTGATTCCGTTGATTCCAGTTGCCTCGGTTTCCCAGTTTCCTGAATTCAGCTGCATTTATGTCATTGACCACTCAAACGATGTGGAAAATCTTGAAATATGATGGTTATACCTGAGCACATACATTTTACTTTGAAAGAGGTATAGGCAAAAACCATGTCGTTTGTCAAAGTTGAGAGAAATCTATCAGAATGGTTTCAGATTAGCTGTCGAGTTCGCCAGTGAGGCGTAATTGAGCTTTTG